ATTTCATGTTTTGTGTTTCCTAAAGTAAAAGAGAAATAGTTCCAATCTAAAAAAATTTTGTCACCGGGTGTGGTGGTGCACGCCTTTAATCCTAGCACTTGGGAGGCAGAGGCAGGTGGATCTTTTTGAGTTCAAGTCCAGTGGGTCTACATAGTGAGTTCCGGGACTGCTGGGAGAGCCTGTCTCAAAAAGACCAAAAAAAAAAAAAAATTGTCATTACATGTTTATTGTTTGTGTATCTGTGTGTATGTGGGCACATGTTCCGCAGTGCCCAAGTTGGAGGTCAGAGGACAACTTTCAAGGTCAGTTCTGTCCTTCCTTATGGAGAGAAGTGAGCACTTTTACCTATTGAACCATCTCACTGATCCAAAACAGTTGAGATGCTATCAGATACCGTCAGATTATCATTCTTAACGGATTCATTTAGATCTTCATCATAAAAGAGGTGAAACAGATAAAAGACAAATTGCTGTAAGTTGCTTTGTGTGTTTCTTCAGTGAACATTAACCAATTCAGATTTGTACCATTGAAAAAAGATTTTGTTTGACCAGTTATTGCCAGAATTTAGTTATCACTATGTATTTCTGGTCTTTTTGAGGCAGGGTCTCTTTAGCACCAGCTGGCCTGGAATTCACTATGTAGACCAGGCTGGCCTTGAACTCAGAGATCCGCCTGTTTCTGCCTCTTTGGGGATTAAAGGCGTCCACCACTATGCTCAGCGTATTTCCTCATCTAACATCAAGTCCTTACAGTGGTCTTGCATGAATACATGGGATGACCCAGGACTTACTGAATTGTCTGTCTGCCTTGCTAACTTCTGTACCATTGTCCCTACTGTTCAAACATGTCAAGAACACTCATGCTCTAAAGACTTTCTTATCCAGGAACATTAAGCTTTTTAGGTCTTTGCTTCAGTACTGCCCTCTTAGTGGCCAGCCTTCCCTGATGGTCTTACACTGTGTAACACCCCCCCCACACACACACTGTTATTCTCCTTTTGAAGTTTCTGTAACGCTAACAGTTGACATGCTGTTTACTTTTTCTCTGAGGGTAAGGACTTGGTTTGCTTCATAGTTGATAAGTTTGAATGGTACCTAGTTGCCTAATAGTTATTGACTAGGTAAACTTATTTAAATTTGACTCACATGTCAAAATATATTTAAAAATTTTTTACATTTCTGTGTAAGTGTGGATTTATGTCAGAAGGCATCTTGCATGAGTTTTCCTTCCAGCATGTGGATGCTGAGATCAAAACAGTTGTCAGGTTTGGCAGCAAGTACCTTTACTGAGCCATCTTGCTGGCCCCACCATATTTAAAATTATTACTTGCATAACTTTTGCTAAATCAGTATCACTGCAGATAATTTTTTTGCTTTCACTCATTAGTAAAAGTATGTGCTGGACTAGAGATGGCTCAATGGTTAAAGGCACTTACTGCTCATATAGATTACCTGGACACAGGGTGGCTCCCAATCTTAACTCCAGTTCTAGTGAATCTGATGCCCTCTTCTGGCCTTCTCAGGCATTGTATGCACGTTACATTTACATGTAGGAAAAACCATACCAATTTTTTTTTTTTTAAAGATTGGGTGTGTGTGCATACATTGTGTAGATGTTAGTATAGGTGCACATGTACCATGGTGTGCATATGAAGATCACAGGACAACTTCATGCATCGGTCTTCACCTTCCATTTTGAGACGAGACAGGGTCTCTTGTTCACTGCTGTCTGTGCCACGCTAGCTGGTCCACAAGCTTTTGGGGATTCTTCTGCTCCATCTCCTATTTCCCTGTGCTACTGTTCGGCTTTTATGGTGGTCTGGAAACCCCAGCTCCAGTCAGGATTGTGTGGCAAATGATTTACCCATTGAGACATCTCCCCAGCCTTCATTCTATTTTTTGAAAAACTTTATTAGTGCCTGTGTGTACTACGATGTGCATGTGGAGGTCAGAGGGTTATAATCGGGCTTACTTGGCAAGCACTTCTGCTGAGCCATCTACCCCCCCGCCCCAATCTCCTATATCTACTTTACCTGGTGCTGGAAGGTATTATTGAAATTTCTTAGCTTTCCCTTGCTATTATCTATTTAATAATTTTTAAAGCTTACATGTCCTTTTTGTCTTTCTGAGACAGGGTTGCCCTACAGCCCCAGCTGGCCTCTCAGAGATCTGCCTGCCTCCTGCCTCCACAGTGCTGGAATTAAAGGTGTGGTGCCACACCCAGCAGATGAGCTTTTACCCCCACATTTACATGCCCTTACTCTGTGCCAGCCACCTATGCCCAGTTACATGTTTTAAAGTCTTAAATCAAAACTGCTTTACATGGGGTCTTATTACTCCAGTCCAATCTGTCTATATGTATTCTCTGACTTTCTGGCTCCTTTTCTCCTGATTAGGTTTGTGACCTTCCCCCCCATCAGCCCCTTCTATCCACCCTTCCTTTCCATCTCTATCCTAAGTACAGCAAGTACCAGTTTGTATAGTCTCAGCAATACTGATTCAGGCACTCATAGGCAAGGCTTTTGTAATTCATCTTTGTAAAAGATTTTATTTTTAATTATGTGTAGGTGTGTGTGAATGTAAGCACAGCTGCTGTTTGGAGGTCAGAAGAGTTATAGGCAGTTATGATCCATACAACATGAATGCTGGGAATTGAACTCTGGTCCTCTTTGATCAGTCATTTCAGTGTCTTCACTTTTTTGTTCTTTATCTCTTGAAAAGTCCTAACCACTGAATCCTACTGGAAAAAGTGCTAACCATACAGACATGCTACAGCCAAACTACAGTCTACAGTGTTAACCATTTTCTCAGCTGCTTCATTAGTTTTCCTGCTACTAACCTATTATTATTTTAGACTTCTCCCTGTTCAGCTCCAGTTTTCTACCTTTATTATTTTTAATAATTTCTTTGGTTCTTGTTTACTTGGAATAGATCAGAAAGCAGAATGACAACCCACTCACCTTATGGAAATTAGTCTTAAGGATTATGAGTTTACAAGTACCAGCTTGAAATTCTGGTTTCTACTCCCTGTGTCCATACTGAAGACAATCTGTATTCATCTTTAATCCTACTCTTCAGGCAAGAATTCTACAATTCTCTGATGAAGGCAAAATTTTATGATTTTGACTATCTCCTCAGGCATGTTAGTCATTAGCCTTTCATTTGCCAAGTTCCTCCTCTGTTGTCTATAAATTATTTCACATTAGCCCTCTTAACTGTGCTGTACCTCAGGCCACCTCTGACCTCTCTGACTAGATTTTGAAAACTTTTCCATCCCATGCATTTAATTTTTGCCATTATACTTTCAAGGGTTAACAAGTGCAAAAACCTTGTTTACATTTTTCTTTCTTGAATAAAGCCTTCAGCTTTATGTATGCTAGGCAAGTGCTGTACCATAGCTGATCCTTACTTATCTCATCCACTCATGGTTTTTATAGTACCCACAGCAGTTATATTATTTCTCTCAAATATCTGACCTTCCAATTTCTGTCTTATACTTTGGACTTAAAACCAATTGTCTGAAATACATTGTTTAAAACAACTCTACTGCTGTCAACCTTTGTCATGTACATTCTTTGAACCAGCAAGTCTTCCTATTCTAATCATGATTTCCTTCAAGCCATCTATCAAAAGAAGTTGATTATTGGGGGCAGGAAGTAAAATCTAAAGATATGCTTCTTTCTAATCATGAAAAGTTGAGCTATGATATACTTTTACAGTGCCGAGTGCACATTAAAGTGAAATCCCTAAAACATAAAAAACATGAAATGTGATTTCACATTCTGTTGGAGTCTTAGTTTAACTATAAAACATCAAATTAGTAAAGAGAGCTTACTGGTATGTCAATCACGTAAACATACATGAATTTACTTCATGCAATAAAGTGTAACTGCAGGTAATTCCAGAAACTACAGTTCAAAAATCAGTCCTTAGGAGTAGCTTGGTGCAATGGTTAAGTTTACCATAGCTCTTAAATTTTGTAATTTGGTTCAGTTACTGTATTATTAAGAAGACTATTTTTGACCATACCTCTAATAACACTTTTCTGTTTTAAGATCAAAGCCATTGGCCAAACAGAACTGAATGCAAGCAACCCAGAAGAAGTGTTACAGCTGGCAGCACAAAGGAGAAAAAAGAAGTTTCTACAAGCAATGGCAAAACTTTACTTTTAAGCAGTTAGTTAATTTTTTTAACTTTTATTTTTTAAACAATGGGCTAAAAGAAAACAGTATTAAAAGGTTGTTTATATAATACATATGTACAATTTAGTGGTGGTTTCTTTTCAGACAAAAGACTGAAACAAATACTAACTTAAATTTACAATTTCTTTGAAGAGAGAAGAGGTTCACATGTTTGGTAAACTAGCAAATCTGGTATCATTTTAAGTCTACTTTTTGAGGCCTAAATTTCTTTTTCAAAGGCTAATTGAAAATATTTAATGTATAAGTAGCTATTCTATATACAGTAAGTTAAATAAATAGATTTCTAGAAGTCAGTATACATTTAATATTTTTCTGCCTTAAGGAAATAGAAGTTTAGGTCCCCTGTTCAGCTTTACTGTTCTTGACATTGTCCTCATCTCATGACTTAGGGTTTAGAAATGGTCCTTAACAGTTGCAAACATAAATAAAGCCTTAGTTATACTATATTTCAAAAGTCTTTTAGGGGTATCTTAGAGTAATAAAGTGACTTTCTTATATAAATAGCTTGAAAAGGTATTTTTTTACCCAAATTATGATATATAAAATTATAAAGCAACCTCTGTATCAAAACCCCAAGTAGGAGCCAAAGCATTTATCCTGTTTATAATTTCTTTGGTTCTCCCATTGTTCAGAGCAGTTTTAACATTAGGTTTCAGTGCCTTACTGCTTAAAAAAATATTATGGCAAGGCAAAACTAGTTAAAAACAGATTTAATTTTATCATTTGTAAAAATTCAAGTTTTATCATAGCTTGCTACAAAATGCTTTAGTCACCTTATTACAATCTTTGTAAACAAGTTTAAATTTCATTTCAAGAACCAAATTGCACTAGTCAACAGTTTAGGAATTTTGAGAATCTAAAATCTAGATTCAAAGTACTGTTTCAGGTAATGTATCCTCCTTTAAGGTAGCCCTTGTATAGTTCAGAATGCCAATGATAATATTCCTAGTTTATAAAGAAAAGCATAGTAACACTGGATTTTAAAGAAACAAACAAAAGTCATTGCTATGGCATAAATTGTGGCTAGCTTCTATTCAAAACCTTGGGAATGAAGTCATCTTTGTAAACAAGTCTTGCTGTTATTTTTAAACAGCTACCATAGGGAAATAGTTTCTTTAATGCCAATTTCTTTGAAAGTTTTTTGATTTCTTTTTTAGTGCTGAGGATTGAGCCTAGGGTCCATGCATGCTAGCCATTTAGTGCCAGTTTTAAGTTGTTTTTAAATAAAAGAATGGCAGTGTCACTTCTGAATTGGCAAAGACAATCACAGCACTATTTTTCTGTAGAAATTTTAGTTCATTTGTATGAAAATTCTACCCAGTACTTGTTCAATTCCAATTTGCTAACTTCAGTGTTTTCCTGGTGGTTTTTCAGTACTCTTCGGTGGTGTCATAATGCCTCCATTGCACACTGGTGACAGTTGTCCTCCTTTTCTGAAGGTGTTGACATAATTTACTTCATTCTGTACATGTAAAGTTATACAATAATTAAGATAAATCAGAATTCTATGTACCTATTGAGACTCTAGGTCTAATGTAGGAGTCTAAGTCTTTATAAGTTTCAAAAATTGAATTGCTTGTAACATGTATTCTAAATTCTTATCTAGACTAGACTATTGGCCTTGATTTTTGAGTTTCACAAATTGATTTGATGTCATAGTAATTTATTAATACTCCCCCCTTCCCCTTGAGACAGGGTTTTACTCTGGAGCCTAGGCCAACCTTGAACTCATGATAGTCCTGCCTCAGCCTTCCTAGTACTAAAGATTTATGGGCATATGCTACCACACTGAGCTTAATTTTATTAACTTCTTTACATTTTTAAAGCAGTGTGCTGTTACTTTGCCCATATCTTATTATATATAACTGCCTGATGTAGTAACCTATAGTATGTTCATTATCACTTTCAGTACTTACTAGATTGCAAGACTTAATTT